CATCGATTTTATAAGTTGTATATCTCGGCACTAGCACAGCGAAAAAATTCTTTTTTTTTACTAGTCGATAGCTCATGAAGTTTACTACAAATAGTGCTCTTAGAGGTTTTGAATTCTGTGCTTCCTTTATTTTCTGCAATCGTTCTACAAATGGTCATTCCAGTGACCAAGGGGGGGGGGGGGTAAAGGGTTAAATGAAACTTTAAGTCAAAAGCTAGTTTTTAGGGCTTTCATAGAGTGCTTCAAAACTTCCTAATTAACTAAGTACTTTTTAAAAAAAATTAATAATCATAATCAGCACAAATAACGCTGTAGAACTATAAAGACTTCTAATAGAACAGCCACAATAGAATTTTTTCGATAGCTAATGCGGAACCCAAGTATGAAAAAGTGAGTTATCATAAAATGCCAAATAAACTGGTAATAAATAATTAGAAGGCCACGCTGATCATCACACCAATAACATTAGTCTCAAACACTATAAGACGTTTGATCCGAAAGTCGGCACACTTTCTTTACAATGATTCTCCATCACTAATTTTGGAGTCACATAAAAAAGTACCGTTCACACTCACTGCTATCGATAATTTCCACTATCAGCGAAAAAAGCTTTTCACACCGTATTCGAATTCCCACTTCTTTCCACCCGTTCTAGTATTCACTAACACTTGAATTTCCGATTCTATAATTCACTAATTTCCCAGCACTCAACATTTTTCTTCCTATACTTTTCCACTAAATACCGATCGTTCCTCTTTCATCACACAAAACATGAAGCAATTCCTATTTTTCGCCACAGCTCCACCTACAGGTAAACCTACACCGAAACCTACAGGTAAACCTACACCGAAACCTACAGGTAAGCCTACACCGAAACCTACAGGTAAACCTACGCCGAAACCTACACCGAAGCCTACACAGAAGCCTACAGCTAAACCTACAACTCCACCTAAAATTCCCGACTGTTATGATGGTATCAAGAATGGAAATGAAACTGGTATAGACTGTGGTGGGGGAGTGTGTCCAAAATGTGACAATGGGATGCCGTGTCGTGGTGATGAAGATTGTGACAGTAATCAATGTGAACAAAATGTTTGCCAAAGTAAGTTCTATGAGAAGTGAGCTAGCATGCTCAATCTATGGTTCGAAAGTGTCTTTATGTAATATGCGTCTATAATAAGGAAAGCATTATAGACCGTTCTCATTTTCGGCCAATTGTCTTGGGTCGCTGAAGTTATTGACAGTAGTATGGTAACTGGTGAGCAGCGTATCGTGAAAGATTATTTTCTCATTGTTTCTATAGGATTCTATCGGTGAAAAGATACTAGTGTCTAGGTTCGCATAGCATTATTGTCTACCTGGTAGATAATGATTGTTGTGTGTGATAAAGTTGCTCAGGAAACGTGCTACAGGTCAATCTAAGTAGTACTTGAATCATGAGAAATACATCGTAGTAGTTGTATGTTCGGCTTCATAGAAGTAGAACATGAGCTTTAATATAATGTTGAAGATGTTTATTGTACTTGTTGAAAAATTGTGGAAGGAATGCTTATTTATTCATTGATTGCTGACAATCAATTTTTTCCCTTTGTAAATTGTCGTTAGAGTTAAAATGTGAAAGGTAATGAAATAGTGCAGCGACTATGGAAATAAACCGACATTGGTAGTTGTTCATCGAATTATGAATTAGATAGCTCTAAACAATACCTCAGATTGCTTGATGATCCAATGTGCGACGGAAATGAAATATTGCACGGCTAAGAGAACAGAACTATATAATACAGAGTTGCCTAAAGGTTTTTCATAAAGTTTCGTATAAGGGCCTGCAAAACTATTTGTTCGTTGACAATTGCTATCTAGTAGCGTCATTCGTTCATAAACAGAAATAAGATTTATCTACTATTAAAACTATATCGTGACTTTAACGATCGATTTCTAACATGAAACAAGTAAATTATTCTTCCTATGTTTTGTTTTTATAGACTGTTCCTTGAACAGTTTCACAAACGGCGACTTCGAAATGGGTACTTCCTTTGGTTGGACAAAAGGTGGTGGCGTGCGAGCTGGTATTGATTCATCATTATTAAATCCATCAGACTATTTGCCAGACGGTTCACGTTATCTTGCAAACATTTCAAGCTCGCATTCAAGCATTGTTACTAATGGCAGTGATCCAATCGTTGGGAACTTGATGCCAAATATCGTATACAGTGGTAATTATTCATGGCGTGTCGAAGATTTAAAAAACGGTGGCTATGCATCAGTCATTAGCCAGCAAATCAATAACTATTACTGTTCAGACATTTACTTTGCCTGGTCGGCCCTTTTGGAAAATGGTGGCCACGCTGAAAACGAGTCGGCCCTCATGATAATTCAACTGGAAGACTTGACCACTAAGGAAACACTACTCGTGCTTCGATACAATGCGGGAGCAGATGGAGCAGGAATCGATGATCGTTTTCGTCAATATGATAGATACTTCTATACACCATCTTGGCAAATTGAGCACTTATCTATCAATAGCACTCGCGTAGGTCACAACTTCCTTTTAACTGTCTTCGCAGCAGACTGCAGCCAAGGTGGTCACCAAGGTCACGTCTATCTTGACAGTTTTGGTGGTGTTGTGCCCAAGCCAAACATTATGCACTGAAACTTTGGCTTTGAGTTGAAAACATTTTTTATCGCTTATATTTTTTAAAAACTTTTAATCTTTTTATACGTTATAGCTCCTCTCTTTCTGTTTATCGAAGCTTCTGAATCTTAATTCAAATTTTCATTTTTCAATATTTATATTTTTCTTGCTCAATCCTTCATATATTCTTATTCTAGCTTTCAAATTTTTATATCCTTCAATAAAGTACAGGGAGGTCCGAAAATTATAGGACACCCTATGGAATTTCTAAAACAATAAAGATTTCTTCAATTAAAGAAGATTACTTTCCGGATCTAATATCACATATGAGGACACATAGTAACCGTCTATCAACTATACTAGTGATTTGAATGTGACCAACTACTAGTGGAAGAATAAACTCAAAACTTTCAAATCTTAGCTGTCCCATTATTATAGGAAACCCCCCTCCCAAAGTAAAGATATTGAGTAAATACTATTTTTGTCAGCCCAATTGATTCTTTTCCAATATCCATTCGTAAGAGAACACTCTCAGCTATAAGCTGAAAAATAAAGATTTTCAAAAAAGCTAATTAAACTTTCCTACTGTTTAAGAGGTCAAATAGTCGAAAAGTTAAGTATCAAAATTGTCATTATGTAATTCGACCAAAAAATAAATTTTCACCTCTTGAACGCAACGAAATGTGGTTTAAGCCCCCCCCCCCCCCTCAGAAACAAACTCTGTTATTTTTCATCCGGTTTCAACCAAAATTTCGGAGAATGTTAGCCTTGACTAGAATAGCTTATAGCTAAAATATCTCCCCCAAATCTCAACGAAATGCACAAGTTCTAGTCAATTGATTACCATTTACGCGGGCAAGGATTTCTCAATAAGGATACGAGCTAACAAGCTAAGGCGGTTTTCAAATTGTAGAGTACCCTTAGGGCTAGATCCTCACGGGGCCCAATTTTTGAATTTCCCTTTGTTTGTTTTTTAAATAACCTTTTTCGTAAAATTCACGAAATCATGTCCAAAAAAATTGCTAACAAAAATAAAATATCTAAGTTTTTTATTTCACCAAAAGAGAAATTCAAAAATCGGGCTCTGTGAGGATCTAGCCCTAAGTACCTTCTATATATGAAAAAAAAAATTATCACTTCTCTACTGAATCATTATTAAAAAAAACCTTGCCCGCGTAAACAGTCTTCTCGGAAAAATCGATTTTGAGAAAAACGAAAAATAAGTATTAGAAACGGATTTTTTTCGAAAGTCACCTGATTTATGTATCAATGTTCAAGACAGGCTAAATATATTTCATCTTAATATTAAGTGTTGATAGTCTCTTAGTGATTAGTATAAGAAAAAAAACTTTACTAAATGCTGATCCAAAGAGAAAGCAGCCTAAAAAGTCGAAAAAGCTTGAAAAAAAGCCGTGAAAATTTCTCAAAAAATATGATAGTAGGAGCGAAGTTTTAGACGACAAGTTCGTCAAAATCAATTCATTGTTTGATAAACTATAGGTATTCTGAAAAGGGAGACTTCGGTGCATCTTCCAATGATAAAAATTCAATTTCGACTCGTCTGCGAAAAATTGGATTTTCTGAGGGGGTCCCCCTTAACAACGTTTTCTCACTGAACGTTCGCTTTATCTGTCTTTCAGATAAAACGAATGCATAATATATTTTTAAAAAATTCACTAAAAATCGAAAATTGCATCGATCGAGCTGACCTGCTAGAATTAGATAGAGTTTAAGATGACGAATCGAGTGGTACCGTTTTTAAAAAGTTTTATTGAAGTTTGTGAGCGGAAATGAATAAATTTTCAACTAATTGAGATTTTTGTTTGTTCTTCGCTAGAACGTTCGCTTTGTCTGCATTTTTTCTGCTGAGCGTTCGCTTTACCAACATAGATAGTAAAGCGAACGTTTGAGATATGTCATTTTATACCGCTAATTACTCAGTTATTAAAGGGACTAGAATTGATATTTTTATATGACTGAATGCAGAATTTAATTCTCTTTCCCGTAGTATAAAAATAAAAATTTTAGTTTTTAAAGTAACTGAGATATAAACGGTGGCATGCAAGCATCCTTCATTTGCGTTCGCTTTAGCTGCCTTGACTCTATAGTTTTTTTCCATTTGAATGTCTCGAGGCAAAACGTATTCGTACAAGATTGTTGTGTTTCGAAGAGAGTTCGACGATAAATTCATATTGGTCGTCATCCTGAAACGAGGGTTTGACATGTTCAACAATATAGCTTTTCGTCTGCTTGTATTCAGCAGCAAGTTTTCCGATAAAAACTGCTAATAGTTTTGATTATATTCGAAAAAAATTCAAAATATATTTTTTAAATCCGATTGAAATTAAAAAAAGATTTCAGCAACTAAAATAAATATATGAAATGAAATGAAATTGCATTTTCGGAATTTTTTTGAAATAATCTGTATTCCGATACAATTCAAATAAAAGTTTATATGAAAATCAAAAACTAAAGTATCAAATATTAAAATGCTATACAATAACATGACTCATCCAGCTTCGTAAGCTGAAGGTCTAGAGATCGATACTCTATATGTTTGTTTCTTCTATGTTTTATTTACAAAATCCACGAAAGATCCTGCTAAAAAACTGATAGCATCCTGAAGGAAAACTAGTCCAATCCTACAAGAATCTTTTCAAGAAATTTTATAACATGTTCGTAGAAATCTAGTCAAATCCTAAAAGATGTGATCAGAAATCTTTTTTCTCCAATTCTCAATCATGGAAATTTTGACAGAATCGTGAAAAACCATGACTAAATGCTTCTTTCAAGATTTAGCCGTTTCTTTAAGAAAAAGAGCAAATTCTTGCAGGATCTCTAATGAAACCTGATGAATAGTAAACAAGTTTTCGAATTGAATGAAGTCATCAAGTTTCAAAAAGTTTCACGATATTTCGAGTTAATATTCACCGATCTTGACCCTCACATTTGCTAGGTTTTGTCACCGGTAGAATTACTGCATAGTACTCGCTTTCAAAATCGTCTCTTCATTATTTATTTTTATGAAACGAAAGTTCTTTTTTTCAATCGAAAACAAAGATTTTTCCTGTATTCTAATAGATAATACAAAGGAGTCTGCTGGAATGACTATATACGATGCTCCTGAACTGTAAATCGCAATTGTTGTTCGTTCCAATAGTTATCATCATGAAATGAGGTCAAATCACATTCTGGAAAGTTGCCGTGCAAATAATCTTCGTATATCACAAAATGAAGACGAAAACGAACGAGATCAGGTAAATATCCCTCGATCAACGTTCGCCACGTGGATGAATCATCTAAAGCTTGCCTATGAACATATAAAGTGACTAGCAGATTTTTCAAATGAGGAGTGATAGTGAAAAGTCGACAAAATTCTTCAAACGACCAATCGAGATGAGACGACAGGTGAAAGCAACGTAGTGCAGGAAGGGATATATTAATCATGAAATGAGCGGGTAATCGATCTTTTAAGGTGATTTTGCAACAACGTAAGTTTGGTGCATGTTGCATAATATCGAGCATTTGATTACTGTTAATAGGGTGTTGGTGGGTGTGGATGGAAAAAGACAACACCCACACCCAAAATGGATAAAAAAAAAGATGAAAAATTCTCAATAATTCTATTCCTTATCCAATTTTTTCTATATGATGATTTTTTCATTCTTAAATTCAAGATTTTTTACATTTGTTGTATTTTCCCACTTTCTTTTCCTATGTTAACTTTCGACAAGTATGTAAAAAATTAGTCAAAATTTGGATAGAATGATTGATTTATCGATTATATGTACATATCAACATATTTGTTCGAACATTACTCATCAATCATTCTTCACTTTTCGTTTCTCTCTTCTCTTCTCTTTCTTTTGCGTTCTATCCATTGGTCTATAAAAGCATATAGCATAAACGAGCCTTATGAACATTCAATGTTATAAAGCGAAATTTGTAGTCTTCTACCAAGAAAATGTATTTGCGATTCCATTGTCGTATCTATTAAAAATTAATTTAGAGAAGTTTATATTTTGAATCCCTATATGATTCAACATACTTTTTCATGAGCGAATTTTTTTTTTGGGAACTCCCAAATGATGAAATATCTCAATCTATACTATCTAAGTATCGAACAATGTTATTCGATAAAAAACAAATGATTTGATAAGATACAAATTATACGGCCCATATTATTATTATTTTTTTCCTTTTCCTTTCTTCGTCCATAGAAATAATAAAATAATCCAATATATTAATCAATTATTTCAAATATTTCACAGCATCATATCTTAATGAATACTGAAAAAACCTACATATTCTTCTATTTTTTATTTTTCAGCAATGTTAGAAAAAAATTTATGTACTGATATAACATGTGACGATACAATCAAAGAATTATATCAATGTCATTGTTATTCACAACTTGTGTGTTTAACTCATTTGATTCAGCACGTTGAAATAGTAAAACAGAATAGATAACAATTCAATTATCTTCGTAATGAATTAAATACGGTTATAAATAAACTTAACTTAATTGTTGAAGAAAAACTATTGAACCACACCAGATGAGCGTGTTTTTGCAAAGTACTCTTCTAATGACATCGAATTCTTCAAGTTTTACAAAAGATTATATTTCTATTCTAACATCTTTAAAATGTAACAAGACATTTATTTTAAATGGTAATACATAATTTTTTACTTATGAACAGGTTTAGAGTTAAGCTTTTGGTTGTTAAAGCATTATATTTTTTATTGTTATATGACGCTACGTAAAATAGAAAAGTTGATTTCAGTGCTCTTATTTTGTTGTTTAATTTAGACTAGATGCATTATGTTCAGTTATGTGTAATCTTTTTTGGTTTTTGCGCATAAAACTGAAGACTAGATCTTGAGTCGTGAAAAACTTTTTTTCAAAGTTCATTATAAACATAAAGAAAAAAACAGCTTGACTCGACCAGCCCTGCCATATAGTAACTTCAGACAACCACAAAACTGAAAACAAATGTCACCATTCGACTCAGCATGGCAAGTCACCCCCTATATAAGATCATTTTAGCCCGATGGAAGATCATTTGGCTGATTTTAGGGCTTATGGAAAATGCTTATAACTCCAAAATAAAACGACATCGTGAACTCGGTCTCCTGGTTGGTTAATTGCTTGATCATTCAAAATAAGAGAGGTTTTGTAAACCATAGCTCAATAGCTCACAGTGATCAAAAGTTATTCAGAATATGGTCGTTAGCACTTTAGGAAAAATTCGGCATTAGTTGTTGAGAATTTTCAAACTAGGCATAACGCGTCTGTACGATGTTTTAGAATAGTCATGTCGGGTGTCTTCGCTTGTTTTTTTTTCTTATATGAGTTGCTTGTTACTCATTTGTTCTTCGTTTCATCCATAGACTGTGCTCTTTCTTTCTCACAGAAAGAAAAAGAAAGAAAGATGAGAAATGTGTCGATGACGTTGTAGTTGATGCAATGCATACATCATTTTACGTACACGACACGACACGACCGACACACATTCATTGGCATAAAAATGACAATATATTCGAAGCTTATTTGTATTGGATGGCTTGTTCATGTTGGCACATGTTTCTATCTAGTGCGGCCTCTTCGTAAGCTACCGGATCGAGCTCTTCTAACAATTGTTCCATGCGCAGCTTTGGCATTTGTCGGATGTCAGAATCTCCCTCTTCTTTGTATGTCGTCCGTCGTGACTATTTCACTCCATTGGATGATGACAATTCGTCTTATTGATATGATTGTATTTTCACCTGAGAAACCTCTTTCACTTCAATCATATGTTGGAAAATTTCTCTGGTTTTTAATTCCCATCGTTAAATGTGATTTAAATTATCCCATCATCCTCGATCTTGTTTCAGCTGGTATTAAACTTCTATTAAATCATTGGATCTATCGATGGCTTCTTATCTGTGAACCAAGCGATAGTTATGCCAGAATGACTATGTTCTATCTATTCATCTGTACAAGTTTATATACATTTGACATGCAAAGTGCTCTCATTCGACTTTTTACACGTAATAATTACACTCTTCTATCATATAATAATTTTCCGTTTCTCTCACGATCTCTTCGAGAATTTTGGGGTTACCGCTATAATCGAATTGTTGGTTCACTTCTCAAGGAATCTGTTTTTGAACCAGTTCGTCGTTCATTTTCTTTCTCGCCGACGATCGCCGCTCTAACAAGTTTTACGTTAAGCGGTCTGCTTCATGCTCATATAGCTGTTGCTGTCTTCAGTGCATCCTCTCCATTGCCTGCATTAACCTTCTTTCTTTTACAAGGTGCTGTTTGCTGTGCAGAAACAGTTTTATCAATTAATCTACCGAAACCGATTGGAATTGCAGTTACACACCTGTTTCTTCTTGTAACAGCGCCACTCTATGTCGGATTATTTACCCGTGCCGGTCCTAACTACTTTGCACTCAATCCGCCACCATTATTTAATGCTAAATGGTTGCCTCAATTGCCCTTACCCAACTTTTGTCCAAAATAAACAATTATATCTAATATTCTATTATCATTTTTCTTTTACTATTGTCTGAGCGATGTTCCTTTAGAACCCGTTTTCGTCGTTTTTATTTCAAATAGAGAACAAACACACTAACTACTAACCAGGGAGAGAGAACTCGAAGAGACACCCGTCCACATAGAAGAGAGAAAAGATTGATATCATATTGACGAAAAGAGAAAGATATGAAATGCGACGCCTGTAACAGTGTACTCCTCGCTCCCATGAAAAAAAATGTGTTTACACACATGGGAAAAAAGAACAGAAAAGTTTTCATAACAATGAAAAATGTACAAGGAGTCCCAAAATTATAGAACACTGTCACATTTTGAAAACAATAAAGATTTCTCCAACCAAAAAGATTTCATTTCCGATCTAAAGTCATATATATGGACATCTAGTAGCAGTCTATTATCTATGATATTGCTTTGAATTTGGTCAATTTACGTTGATGAATAAATTCAAAAACTTTTGAATCTCAGCTGTCCCACAACTATAGAACACTTCCTCCCTAGATATAAAAATATTCAATTAATACTATTTGTGCCAACTCGAATGATCCTTTTTCAGCATCCATTTGAAAGAGAAGACACTTAGGTATATCCTGAAAAAAAATAGTTTGGCAAAAACTAAATTAACTTTCCTATCGTTTAAGAAATTAAATGATAGAAAAGTTAAATCTCAAAACTAGCACTATGTCGTTTGAGAAAAAAAAAGTTTTCCCTTCTTCAATGTAACGAAATTCAATTTAAACTATACCATTGAATAGAACATCAAAAACTGCATAGACTACTTATGTTTTAACAGAAGACTTTGAGGGAATTGATAATTGTGAAAAAGTATTTGAAAAATCTTTTCTTCTAAAGACTATATCAAAAACCTAAGTTTTCACGAAAAAACATCTGATTCCATAGAGGGTTGGGCAACTTTCTGATCGATGACGAAAATGATAATTTTCACCAAAAAAATGATGTTCGAATCAGAAATGGTCATCTTCCACAGAAAAAACAACCTAACTAGAGAAAACGATAACTAAATTGGAAAACTGTAACATCTGTCTGCGGAGAAATGAAAATCAATGCGAACAATGATCATTTCTATAGGAATAATGCTTTCAAATAATGGGATCAGGTTATTAATTATTAAGAAGATGCTTTTCCTTTTTTACTAATGCACATAGTTGATCAACGGAAAAATGAAAATCAATGGGAAAAACGCTCATTCCTATGGAAATGATGTCTAGGAAAAATAGAATAATGTAAATAGTAATTGGAAAGATGTTTTTGTTTTAATCGATCGGCGACAAAAATGCTTATTTTAATTGGAAAAAAGTTGCTCGGGTCAATAAAAGATTGTTTCCTAAATTATAAATGACTAACTAAGAAAATTGAAAATACTTGTAGAAATTAAACAGATAGATTGGAGTTATCATTTTTGAAAGTAGGATTGTGTTTATATATGAAGGAAGAATGATTCCGGTTTTTATTTATCTGTATATTTTGTGAGCGAAGAAATGACAAGCTATGGAGAATATGAACCGAACTATTTAGTATTATTACACACCAAATATTAAGCTACTAATAACATACGATGTCTTGTTTTACATATTCATCACTCAAGAGGTTTCTACACTAATTTTGCGTCATAAAAGTATTGGAAGAAATTAACTAACATACTTGATTACCTTCGTTCCATAATTACTTAATTGAATCAAACCGTTTTCTCACTGGAGAGGAAAAACGATTTTTTTCATTGTCAAAGTATTTTTCTAAGGATAGCAACCATTTTTGCTCT